TTTTGTTGTTGTTTAAAATCATGCACTATTCCTTGGTTACTTTTAAGATAAATGTCCATCCCCTTAGCATGGCATACAATCCCTCTGCAATCGGACTGCTACCCACTTCCTTAGACTCAATTTCTGTCAACCCCTCAGACTCTCACTGAGGTCCAACCGTATGGAAGTACTTGCATCCTCTGAGTGTGCCATGTTCTCTCACAATTCTTTCCTGTGTAGACACTGTTCTCTCTATTCATAATGTCCTCTCTTCCTTTGGCCTTTTGTCTAGCTAATACCAGCTCATCAGTCAGGACTCAGCTCACGCATAACTGCCAAACTCCCCTGGCACTGAGGTGACTCTTTCCTTACGCATGCCAAAGTACCTTGTACTTTCTTCCATTATTCATCTAAAGAATGCTTATGAAACACCTGACACATTATTTTTTATATATCTGTCTCACCCACTAAATGTGAGCTCTCTGAGTACAAAGGTTGTGCTACTTTTTTTAGTATCTTCAAAGCCTAGCACAGTGCCTAACCCAGAGTAGGTGGCTCTCAGAGCATATTATGGAGTGAATATACTGAGCACGTATAGACCCAGGATTAAAGTCAATGGTCCACTCTTTCCCCAGAAGAAATGTTCCTTCTACTTTTCTCACAGACCTTGAAGAACAGTACAGTGTATTAGTGAAAGCGCTGCTCTCTGAGTTAGAACACCCAGGTTCTAGTCTAGCTCCGTGATCGGGAAGGTGTGAGATCTGGAGCAAGTCACAAAAAAACAGCCAACATTCATTCAACACTGATGATATGGGAGACACCCTGCTAAGCATGTTATGGGCATGATTTTATTTTTTCCTCACAGTCAACTGAGGAGATAGATATTAATATATGCACATTTTATAGATGAAGAATTTAAGGCACTCAAACCCGTGTTTGATATTGCTTCCCTTCATCTAGGTTATTGAGAGACAAAATGAGACTTGGTATATAAAGGAGTTTTACCAATTGTTGACAGCTATACAAACATAAGTCACTGTAATCATGGGAAGCAATGAAGGTTGTCTAAGTGTAATGGTGTTTTGTGGTTATAGTGAAAAGTCAGAAATAAAGATTTTACCAGATGAGGATCCAGCTTATGCAGCTGAATTAAGAAGACTCAGCCAGAGCACACTCCCAAATCTGAGGTATATTATAAAATCGTAAGCCAAGGAACACAATGTGCCCACCCCCTTTGCATTTTGTGATGGTAGAAAACCAATGTCCAAAGCTGCAGAAAGCCACACAGCTAATCTGTACATAGGCTAGGACTCCTGAGTCAATACTGCACTATTTTTAGCCCACCTTGTGTGGAGGAAAGTTTATAAATATGAATATGAAGTTTAGAGAATAGCACTGATGGATCTGAGTGTTCCCTTTAGAGAGCACCTGGGTATTTCAGGGCCAACATTAAACTCACAACATGCTCCTGACATCTCTCTTCACAGGCATTTTTAATTACCATGTCTGTCTTTACTAGGCATCCAACAAGTACTGTATTCAACAGGGCCAACATATAAAAGGCAGAAATAACATTTATCCAGGAAACTGAACTTAACAAGAAGCATTAGGATGTACTAGAAAGAATACAGACTTTTGCACCAAACAGACGTGAGGGGAAATCCTAAACCCTACCACTTAACTGGCTCCTCGGTAATCGAGCACACCATTTTTCTGAGCTTTGGTTTTCTCACCTCTGAAATGAAAAAACGATGCCTCATTATTGAAGGAATAAAATCTTTGCCACAGTGTTCCATACATGTTGGCTTCTCTTCTGTTCATTAGTGGTGTTCATGCGATATATGAGCCTTGGCCAATTGCCAACTGTACTTAACCTCTCTAGGTTTAAGACGTGACAATATTTGTCTGGTGTCACTACATGTAAACACAGAAACATCAAAGGCATAAAACATGTTTCTCCTTTTCTGATCACAAATATCAAGTCTACATCCAGGCAACTTGAGGGTACTTAGAACAGCCTTATTGAATAATGGATTTAGTGTGTGTTGAGTGGTGCTGAGTTCTCCAGCACGACTCTTTTCAGAAGTCTAAAGAGGATGATCAAACATGGTAAAGAAAACTGACATCAGCTGGATACACTTTGAGGCCAGATTCTACTGACTGCAGTGAATAGAGTCTAGGCTCTGAAATCAGAACGTCATGAGTTCAAATTTCACTACAGCATATACTAGCTGCCTGGTCTTGGGCAAGTTACTTCTCTTCAGACATGGAACTTGCTTGTCTGTAGAATGGGCAGAATAATGGAACCTATTTTACAGACACACGTTAAGAATTAAATTATTGCATATACAGTAGTTGGTACCAGGCCTCCTGTAGTTAAGTACTTAATAAATGCAAACGGGGGTCAATACCCACGTCACACGCATCATTAAGTGGGGAAGAAAAATATCAAAATAAGAGAACCATAGACTTGATTCCATTGAAAGAGTTCCATTGAAAAATACAAATTTTTGTCATCCTTTAGTTGTATTAGTTGGCAGCTGGTACCATAACTATATGTACTCTGTATGGGGAGTGTTCCAAGAAGTTAACTTGTTCCTACGTCCTTCCATGTTTCTCAAATTACATCATTTGCCTGGGAAATTCTCAACCCCAGTCTACCTTTCATCCCTTAAGAAGCCCTTAAAATGCCTCCTGATGACTCCTCACTCCACGAAACCTTCCAGGAATCACCAAAGGAAAATGGCAGCTGGTCCCACTGGTGTCTTATCTAAAACTGAAGTTCTAAAGACTGCTCCCTTAACTGGCGGGCCCATCAGGGCACTTTCCTTTGGTATCGAGCCCTATTTGAACGGCTCGTTACTTTCTTATCTGAATCACTAGATCCATGAAGATAGCATTCCAGTTGGCATCGAGAGATTTGGAGCTCAAACCTTGGCTCTCTGCTCACTTTGACTTTTGTATAGATGCTTCATCTCACCGAGCCTTGTTTTCCTCAGATGAAAATGGACATAATAACATTCAGACAATGGAACATTACTCAGTGCTAAAAAGAAAGATGCTATCAAGCCATGAAAAGACATGGAGGAAACTTAAATACATAGAACTAAGAGGAAGAAGCCAATCTGAAAAAGCTACACACTGGGGCCAACTGTACAATATGCTAGTAAAAGGCAATACTATGGAGAGAAGGAAAAGATCAGTGATTGCATAGGTTAAGGATGGAGGGAAGAAGAGGCAGAGCACAGCAGATTTTAAGGGCAGTGATACTCTGTATGATACTCTAGTAGTGGACACATGTCATTATATATTTGTATATATAGAAATATATAACGTACTACATGCCAGATGTTATATAGTCCTTAGAATGTACAACACCAAGAATGAACCCTGATATAAACTATGGACTCTGGGTGATGATGATGTGTCAATGGGGGTTCACCAATTGTAACAAATATGGTACCCTCATGGGAGATGTTGACCACAGCATTCTAGAAAACACTAGCAGAAATCTAAAAACCATTAGTCACTAAATGTTGATAGTATGAGGATAATAATTATTCTATGACTCTGCAGGCTATGTTGTATATGTTCATTATCTTCTCAATCAAGGAAGCATGTAATTTTTCTATTATTGAGACAAGTTTTTAAAAAAATTTTACTTGTTACCAGTGCATATGAATGAATTAAAATCAAATGAATTAGGGCCGGGACTAGGGTCACGATGTGTGAGGCGTTTGCCTCAGGCACAGATTTAAGGTAGATGAAAAAATCTCAATAATCAAGATAAATAATATATTAATGCAGCACTGTAAGGAGTAAAATTAATGCAAAAACTCCTTTAAAAAAAAGACAGGATCAGTATTAGTGACTTGTCTTTTTGACTTAGGTCCTGATATGTCTTGGCACAGAACTGAAAAATCCTTGGGACACCTGCCTCAGCTATTCCACAAAGGTAAAACTTAATGAGCTCTTATCCAGGCATCCCAGCTGCATCACTAGTCCTTCATTTTGAGGATCTGTTCACTTTCATAATAATGTCCAGAACTACTCTTTAGTTTTGGCAGTGGTGTTCATTAGAGGGCATGTTTTAGATGGTGATTTTGGTACAACACTAAAAGGTAATAGCCACAAAGCTATCTGTCTGTCTCCAGTTTCTAACTCCAGTTCTCTCATTCTCCCTCCATAACATTGTGGAATAGCTCACTGGCCTTCGTCACTTTTACCATAACTAAGAAAATATGCTCAGTCCCATAACACATCCCAGGTCTTTGGCTTGGGCAAAGGGCCCAGCGCCTTACCCACGCACAAGCACTGAAGTAAAATGAATAGCAGATGTTCACGGTCCTGCTTTGTACCCTCTAAAACACAATGACAGCCAGGAAGAACTGGGAACAAGTAGGTGTGGTTGTGAGCATATCAGGGAGGTTGAGGGAAGAGAAGCTTGAAAGGAGAGTGTGAGCAAACCTCCATGATCTCACATTTCTAGATGACACCGAGTCTCACTTGTCAACAAACAAACCCTACAAGGACAATTAGCTGGCTCACTCTCTTTCCTGTGGAGATGATTCATCATTCATTCAATAGATATTTCCTGAGCACCTGTGATAAGCAAGGCACCAGGCTTTCAACTGTTCAGGATACAAAGGGAAAGTGTTACTGTACAAGAGGCAATTTTGGCTTTCATAAGCCTAGGAAACTGATGTAAAGGATAAAACGTAACAAGAGCCTCCTTACTGCTTATGATAATTTCACACAAATACCATTTTCATGCTTGATCTTTATCATACTATAACAAAAGATAGGTAGGTTATCTATTGCCACTCCCATTTCGAAGATGAGTCAGTCATTTTTGCTTATAAAGGGTGAAGCTAGAATTAGAAACCAAATGCTCTGGCTTCTGCAAGATAATGCTGTATATGACAAGGTCCAAAGAGATGGTATAAATCGCCTAAGTGTTGTAGGAGGAGATTAGAAATGGCAGGATGACTTCTGAGTGGTGTGGTCAAAAAAAAAAATCACAAAGTGGTTGTGAGAAAGAAGAATGAAAACAGGCAAAAGGATGTGAGGGAAGAGTTACAGTGCACTGAGGAAAAAGACAGACAATCCAAGCAAAAGAGGTTGGTGTGGGCAAAGGCATACAGGTAAGCAATCGAGGTGCGCATCGGCCATAACAAGCCATACTGATGGTGCAGCAGGGAATGTTTGCTTGGGAAGAAGTGTCAGCTAAAGTGGGAAAATAAGATCATGGCTAGTTTGGGAAACCTTACATATATGGCTAAGGAGTGAAGTTTCCTAGGTAGAAGAAAGAGAGATTAGAGCTTTGTACAGAAAAGTGGTATCAACATTAATTTTAAAAAGATTAATCTGCTCGTGGCTTGGATGCAGGCTGGTTCAGTGGAGAGAAACTCTGGACCAAGGAAACCCCGAAGGAGGCCATTTCAGGGGTCTAAGTAATAAGATCCTCAGCTCGTGATGGAAAAGGGAGAAAAATCAAAGGGAGTGGTGGTCAGAAAACCTGGTTTCAATTCTCTTTTACTGTATTCATTTCCAAATGGACTGGGGAAAACTAATATGGGCATGTCATTTGATGTATATTTTTATTAATCAAATTTCATAATGTACTACATGCCAGATGTTATATTAAGCATCGGGATACTGGGGTGAAAAAGACAAGTCCTTGCCTCCAAAAGGCCAGGAGAAAGCTCAAGAAAAAGCAGCCAGATGTCTCGGGGAAGTCAGGGAAGGCTTTATAGGATTGATGCTTGAACTAAGATTTGAAGCATGTGTAGGAAGTTTGTTAGGCAGAAAAAAAAAGAGTGAGTATATTTTGTAAAGAAGAGAAGAGACAGAGTATATGGAAAAATATTAAAGCAGAAACAGCATAGGGAGTTTTAAGAATTCCAAGTAATTTGGTAGGGCTAGAATAAGGGTGACTTTGGGGGATTTTTTTCAGCTTTACTGAGGTATAATGACACAAAACATTGTGTAAGTTTAAGGTGTACAATGTGATGATTTGATATACATATATATCGTGCAAGGATCACCACACTGAGGTTAGTTAACACATCCATCACCTCACATAGTTACATTTTTCTGTGTCCGGTGAAAACATTTAAGATCTGCTCTCTTAGCACCTTTCAAGTATACAATACGGTATTGTTATAGTTACCATGCTGTCTGAATGTCACATCCCCAGAACTCAATCATCTTATACCAGAAGTTTGTACCCTTTGACCAGCATCTCCCCATTTCCCACCCCGACCCCCCCAGCTCCTGGCAACCACCATGCTACTCTCTGTTTCTATGAGTTAAGCTTTTTTCCCATATAAGTGAGATCATACAGTTTTAGGGTGAATTTGGGCAAATGAGAGCAAGCAGGAGGAAAATGGGAAGGGGCCTTAGTATCCACACAAGTACTGGGGCTTGCTTCTGAAGAGGAAGTGAAACCATCAGAGCATTCCAGCAGGGTGATGGCACGATCAGGGTGGTGGTATAGAAGGGTAATTTGGACGAGGCCATGAAGAAAGGATGAGATGGGAAAGCTGGAGACACGGAGTCTGTCAGGGGAAACTTACCAATTTTCTGGGCAAAAACAAATGAGAAGGCAGGGCAGTCGAAGCGGCAGTGATGGGGTGGTATTGAGGAGGAAGAATCATCTATTCCTTAAGGGACATTGCAAAATCCACTAACCCTGGAGGACAAACAACTTCTAACTGGTATGCTACACCTTCAATTGTTTGACGTTTCCTAGAATTTTCTGAAATACCGTCTTGATTACCTGGGGCCAGAGCAGGCTTCAGAGAAAAAGGGCGCCAGGGTGATCAGCTAGCGCAGGCTGCCGCAGGGGTGGCATGGGGGACTGGTGACAGGCACGCTGTATAGCTGTCATTTCTGATGGCCAGCACACTCCCTTGGAATAAGATTAACCTAAACTAAGTTAGCACAATCTGAGCTGTTTTTTAAAGGACCCTCAGATAAGAAAAGCATGGCGTCTCATAAAAACTCATTCCACAGTTTCACAATTTTGATTATTAAAAAACTTCATCTCAGTCAACTGACTGAGCCACCAACTCTTGGCTTCGGCTCAGGTCATGATCCCAGGGTCGTGAGATGGAGCCCCACATCGGGCCCCGCACTCAGTGGGGCGTCTGCTGGAGATTCTCTCTCCCTTTTCTATTCCCTCCACCCCTCCCCCCTCAAATAATTAATTAATTTTAAAAAATTAATCTCTGAAAATTATTTTCTTTCCTCAGGTCTCTTCTCCAAGATGAATAATTCTCATCCATTTACTCTTTCCTTTAGGGTCTTATTCTTCCTTCTCACATCTTTTCCGAATGCTTACATCTACAACCTGAATCCTTCCTTTCTTCCTAAATCTATCAGAATAAGCTGTGACCAAGATTTATGTGCTGTAGCTATCTGCCCTACTCAATACTGACAATTATATTATCAGGGCCCTCTACCACCTTGCTGCCAGCAGCGTCTTGACTCCGTGCTCACCACACATTACCATGTCCTACTGGGGTGCTGGCGAATCCCTATCTAGAATTGCCCCTCTTGCTTCCTCCCTGTAAAATCATATCCTTCCCCAATTTCCAAGCCATATTCAAGATGGCGGGAAGACTTTCTCTTAGGATCTCTTACCTAGAGTGCACATGCACATATCTCTCACACACACACACACACACACAGACGCATACACACACACACACCACTTTCAGGCGTAGAATGTAATGTCGTTACATTATTAAAGCCTCACCTCTTCTGCAGCTATGCATATAATAAAGGATACGACAGCTTAATGGTTAAGAGCTTGGTATCTGGAGCCAGATTGCCTGGATTATAATCCCAGATCTGCCATTTATGGGGCCAGTGATTTACAATTGTCATGATGCAGTGTCCTCAGCTGTATAATGGAAATCATAATAGTACAGTAGCTACCTCATTGACTTGCTGTGAAAATTGAATGAGTTAATATATGCAAAATGCTTGGAATAGTGCCGGGCACGTGACAAGCTCTATATAAACGTTAGCTGCTTTTATTATCCTTGTTATAGGGGATTGGTTAAGAGCAGAGTCCTGATCTCGGGGTCCTGGGATGGAGTCCCACGCTGGGCTTTGTGCTCAGTGGGGAGTCTACTCGAGGATTCTCTCTCCCTCACCCTTTGTCCCTCCCCCAACTCATGCTCTCTTTCTCTTAACTCAAATAAATAAATAAATCTTTTTAAAAAATAGATGAGAAAATACCTATCTTATAAGATTGCACAAGGATCAACTGAAACAATGCATAAATTATATTAGCTATAACTACAATTGTATTGTTATTATAACCCAATACTTTCTTGGAACTAAATGAACTTTATTTATTTTGTAAAGAGTCTGGAACCTCAGAAACCGTTTACTCCAATCTCTTCATCTTGCAGAGGGCCTGCCAGAGAGAAAGTTGACATGACTCAGCAAGGCTGCCCATTCAGCCAGGGAGTCAGAACTAGAACCCAGTCCTGCAGACCCCCAGATTTTCTTCCTACTATATCCCATGGCATTGGCTACTTGCCTTTTTTTTTCCTCCTCTGCATACTGTGTAATCCCTTCTAAACAGTACACCAAAAACAAGAACTACTCCTCCATACCTTTGATGTTCTCAGGTCCCTGTCCATATCCCAAACTCTCTCACCGTGACCCCCTAAAGACCTACGTCCGCACTCGGGGCACAGCATGGGCTCAAGCAGTGCAATCACCTGTCTAATGTTTTAAAATTTTTCCTCTGAAGTCCTGCTATACAGGTGTGAATGTTTGTAATAAAAATTTCTGTTTTATCTGTGATGACAATTGACTTAGCTTTTAGTGCAACATTTGGTATTCTCTATGTTCCGGCTAGTAGCTTTCCATGAGCTGTATAATATTTCATGGCTGAAGCCATGAAGGAGCTAGTGAGGGGTGGTTTCATGTCATCTATTTATTCAAAAAGTTTCCTTCAACTGCTATAGATTGAGTAGAACCAGCAAAGATCAGTTTCAGTCACTGAATAGTGAGTCAAAACAAGCCTTGCAGGTCACAGTCTTTGAGGCTAATGAGATCCTTCTTTTTTTTTTTTTTTTTTTTTTTAGATTTATTTATTTGAGAGAGAGAGAGAGGAAGGGCAGAGGGAGAGAGAATTCTCTCTTCCTTCCTGCCCGCCTGCCTTTGCTATGTCATGTTTTTCACAAAAGACAATGATTAATAGCATCACCTTACATGTGTAAAGTTTTTCAAGTACTTTAGATATTGCAAAATGTTTGCTTGGTTTTCTCACTTGATCTTTCCCCTCGGACCCCGTGAAATAAGGCAGAGCTGCCATTTTTACAACTGTTAAAAAGGAAAGCCAAGGAGGTCATCCAATGAGTTGCTAACAAAGCTAAGGAAAAAGATCCATGTCATTGATTCATTCGTTTAGTCATACTGAGATCTGCAATGTAAAATTCATTATGGATTCTTATAGAAGTCAGACTCTGTCCAGGTCAGATTTCTACACCAGCGGCGTTCACCAGCAGCAGGTGCTCCTACACCCCCAACACTGGGAAATTAGCAAGGGTCGGGATGGAGGCTTTTCCTAACAGTTACTAAAAAACACTAAGAGAATTTCTGGAAAAGTACAAAGTGCTTCTGAGACAACACCAGACTTTCCATTTCTATCTTAATCCCTTGGTGTGACCAGCCATTAAGAAATGTTAAGTGTACCTTTCATCAATCCAGAGATAAACCATTTCTCCCCATCGTTCCTACATATACTTAATTACAGTATATACAATACTTCAGTCCATTTTATTGTGTGCATGTTTATCTGGAACAGCTAAACTCTTAACTCTTGAATATATTAAGACTTGGCTCGGCACCTCACATACTGTGAGTACCTAGACAGTGTACTGAATGAGTAAGTGGGTTAATTAATTGATTAACTAATGCACTGCTGTACTATACCATACTTCCTCTAGGATAAAGCAGGAACCGGAAGCAGAAAGGTTAGTGCACTGTCTGCTGTATCCTCATTCCTTTTGGCCCTGAAGTCTCGACTGAATGACACATGGACTGATTTTCATCATCAGACTTAGTAAGTCACCGAGTAAGGCACTGTTGGGGCAATACCAGAGGCTGGCTCGATGTTTGGCTCTTTGCTGACATGGAGACAAAGAGGCAAAGGGAAATAGTTGTTATCAGAGTATTTAATTATCTAGGCTTCCCCAGGACATACATAATTCTTCCACATATCTCTGAATGCTTCAAAAATGTTCAGAGTCACAGATATCCACTTAGAAGCTAGGGAGTTGGATGGGGTGCCTGGGTGACTCAGTCAGTTAAGCATCTGACTCTCGATTTCAGCTCAGGTCATGATCTCAGGGTGGTGAGATCGAGCCCTCCCATTGGGCTCCACACTGGGCGTTGAGCCTGCCTAAGAGTCTCTCTCTCCCTCTCCCTCTGCCCGCCCCCCATTTCACGTGCATGCTCTCTCTCTCCCTCTAAAAGAAGAAAAAGAAGAGGAAGAAGAGGAGGAGGAGGGAAGGAAGAAGAAAAGGAGAAGAAGAAGTTAGGAAGTTTGAGAATGTTCTAGTACCTTCTTGGGTCTGAAAGAATTAGCATTGCTTCTAAAGGAAATTAACTTCCTCTAGAAGAACATCTTTTACAGTGGGGGAATCTGTCCCCACTCTTAGGCCAATGTTTATGAAAAATCATCAAGCTAGAAATAACTCCTGGAGCAGAGAGAAGAGAAGATGGTTCTTGGGACTTGGGACTAAGGCTCTGCCAATGAACACTTCAGCCTCCTTCCATTTCTTCTGGCTCTCGATTCAGTAACTTGAAATGTGGGCAAGGAGGCTGGCGGATGTACTGAAAGACACCTTCCATGTCAGCCAGTGCAGTTCCCTTCCACGCTGAACACAATCAAATATGTGACTTACAACAGACACAGGCTGCAGGGCTGGAGAGGAGAGATGTTATAACTCCCTAAGACAGTCCTGAGACAAGCAGGAAGCAGGGAGATAAATGCTAAAGAATGCAAATAAGATTGCCTGTGTGTTGAAGCCCTGGGAGAACAGGAAGGGATATGAATTATCTTTTTTTTTTTTTTTTTTGGCTTAATGCACAAAGCTCTCCAGATGAGGCAGCCCTGAGACATTTCCACAAGCTAGTGAAGGGGAAAATAAAAAAAGCAACTTTTGCGGAAACCCACAAGCGAATACTTGATCTTGCTCAATTTCAATCTGTTTCCTTAGGAACTTTTTTCCATAAACGCAGGCCTGGGAGCTGAGCAGTACGTGCACAGGCCGCATCTTCCAAGGGCTCAGAGAAAGACCTCCATGTTCTAGACCCAAGCCAAGGAAAACAAACTGAGAAAATGATCACCTCCAAGGAGCTGCTTTCCATCATCTGCACTTTATGTCGGGGGAAACATGCATTCACAAACCCCAGGGACCCAGACTGTGTATTGCCATCTGTTGAATCAGGTTTTGTTGAGCCACAGCTAAGCTTGGAACCCAGGTGGAGCTATACGTGAAAGTTTTAGGCACTCCCTATAATCAAAATGACTGCCTTGTTGCATGGGCACAGAGTTCCCATCAGCCCCAGCCCCCACGATGACATCCCTACAGCAGATTGTTCAAAGTGCAAACAACTTTGCCAGCTGAAATGCCAGAATCCCTGAAACAGGAGTAATGGATCGTAGAAACAATTCCAGAGTTGGAAAGGGCTTTAGGAAACGATCTAAGGACACCTAAAGCCCAAGCAACAAAACAGAAAACAAGTGGGACTACATCAAACTAAAAAGCTTCTGCACGGCAAAAGAAACTATCCACACAGCGAAAAGACAACCTACCAAGTGGAAAATAATACTGGCAAACCATGTATCTGATAAAGGGTTAATATCCAAAACATATAAAGAACTCATATACTTCAATAGCAGACAAAAAACTAACTAAAAAATGGGTAAAGGACCTAAATAAACATTTCTCCAAAGAAGACATACAAAAGGCCGACAAGTAAATGAAAAGATACTCAAGATCACTAGTCTTCAGGGAAATGCAAACTAAAACCACAAGATACCACCTCACACATGACAGAATGGCCATCAACAAAAAAGACATGAATGCTGGTATGAACCTGGAGAAGAGAAAACCCTCATGCGTTGTTGGTGGGAATGCAAACTGGTGCTGCCACTGTGGGAAACAGTAGGGAGGACCCTCAAAAAATTAGAAATAGAACTACCATATAATCTAGCTATTCCACTTTTGGGAATATATCCAAAGGAAACAAAACACTCACTCGAAAAGGTATCTGCACCCGTATGTTCATAGCAGCATTACTTACCCACAACATGGAAACCACCTACATGTCCATCGATGGATGAATGGATCAAGAAGTTGTGGTGTGTATATATACAGTGGAATATTACTCAGCCATAAAAAAACAAGGAAGTCTCACCATTTGCAACAACACGGATGGACTTTGCCTTCAAGGCCCACAAGCATAATGCTAAGTGAAGTAAGTCAAGCAAAGACAAATACTATATGATCTCATTTATACGTGGAATCAAAAAAAAAAAAAACAACCCAAAAAGCCAAATTCATAGAAAAATAAATCAGACTTGTGTTTACCAGAGGTGGGGGTGGGGGGAGGAGGAATTGGAGAAAAGGTGGTCAAAAAGTACAAACTTCCAGTTACAAGAAAAATAAGTACTGGGGATGTCTTGTACATCATGACAACTATAGGTAACGTTGCTACATGATATAGAGGAAAGTTGCTAAGAGTAAATCCTGAGAGTTCTCATCATAAAGAAAAATTTTCTCCTTTACTCTTTTTTCTTACTTTTGTTTCTATTTTATCTCTACGAGAAGATGGAAGTTAGTTGAACCCACTACGGTAATAATTTTGAAATATATGTAAATCAAATCATCATGCTGTACACCTTAAACTTATACAGTGATGTATGTCAATTATTTCTCAATAAAACTGGGGAAAAACAAAAACAAAAGAAATGAAATGAATTGACCCAGGTCAGCGCATATCATTTTGCTAACGTGTGTCTAAGCAATGCCCCAGAGCTGGATGTTGGTCTAATTTTAATAGTCCTTTACAGAGTGAGTTAAGACTTAGAAAGTCACTGGAGTACCTGGGTGGCTCAGTTGGTTAGGCGACTACCTTCGGCTCAGGTCATGATCCCAGGGTCCAGGGATCGAGCCCCGCATCGGGCTTCCTGCTCGGCGGGACGCCTGCTTCTCCCTCTCCCACTCCCCCTGCTTGTGTTCCCTCTGTCGCTGTCTCTCTCTGTGTCAAATAAATAAATAAAATCTTAAAAAAAAAAAAAGACTTAGAAAGTCACTTTCTTTGCTGTCATCTTAGGTTCACTGTGCATCTTTCCTTAGATAAGCATGACATTGGAAGGTTCACACAATTGAGATTGTTCAACCCACCTGAATAGGATTTGATACCAAGTTACATTTATAGCTATTAATTCTTTTTTCTTGACTTCATACAGAATAGTTCAAACAGAATAAGACCCAACAGAAAAGCTTTAAAAATAAATAAATAAAATGATGTTTGCTGTAAATGAATTCTCCATTCTGTAAGAAAATGCTAAGTGAATGTTCTTTAGAAGGTCAGGCTATATACAAGTAATAAAACGGAAGGGAACAATTTTGTAAGAGACATGCAAAATTGATTGTCAAAGCATTATTTGAAACCTTCCTTGACTTTAGGGTAATATCAAACAGAACATCTCCTTCATGGTGATACTAATCTCTTTTAAAAAGAATCAAAGTAAAATCCCATTAATTTGGGTCACACTAATTCAAATTGAGGATAATTCAAACCAGACAGCTAAACTTACTTTCATTTTGCCAATTCTCTTTAAAAGTCAATTAGAAGCTTCTGCATAGCAAAGGAAGCCACCAACAAAAGAACAAAGGCAACCTAAGGAATGGGAAAAAATGTTTGCAAACCACATACCCCAAAAGGGGTTAATATCCAAAATACACAAGGAAAGTATAAGACTGAATAGTAAAAAACCAAATAACCCGATTTAAAAAATGGGCAAAGGAACTGAATAGTTGTTCTTCTAAAGAAAACAAACAAATAGCCAAAAGGTACATGAAAAGGTACTCAATATCATTAGTCTGGAGGGAAATGCAAACCAAAAGCACAATGGAAATATCATCTTACACCTGTTGGAATGATTATCATCAAAAAGACAAGAGATAACAAATGCTACGACCGACCGTATGGAGAAAAAGGAACCCTTGTGCACTGTTGGTGGGAATGTAAACTGGTACAGCCATTATGGAAAAACAGTATGGAGTTCCCTTAAGAAATTAAAAATGAAACTACCAGGGGCGCCTGGGTGGCTCAGTCGTTAAGCGTCTGCCTTCGGCTCAGGTCATGATCCCGGGGTCCTGGATTGAGCCCCGCATTGGGCTCCCTGCTCCGTGGGAAGCCCGCTTCTCCCTCTCCCACTCCCCCTGCTTGTGTTCCCTCTCTCACTGTCTCTCTCTCTGTCGAATAAATTAAAAAAAAAAATCTTAAACAAACAAAAAAATAAATAAATAAATAAAATGCTACCATATGATTCACCAATTTCACTTCCAGATATATATCCAAAGGAAATGAAATCACTATCTCAAAGAGATATTTTTACTCCTATGTTCATTGCAACATTATTCGCAACAGCCAAGATACGGAAACAACCCAACTGTCCAACGATGGATGAATGTGTAATGAAAATGTGATGTATACATACAATAGAATATTACTCAGCCTTTAAAAAGAAGAAAATCCTGCCATATGCAATAACAATAATGAACCTGGAGGACATTATGCAAAGTGAAATAAACCAGAGAAAGACGAATATTTGTGTGGTATCACTTATATAAGGAATCTACAAACAAAAACAAAACAAAACAACACAAAACAAAAAACTCATAGAAACAGAGTAAGAATGGTGGTTGTCAAGGACTGGGAGGGGTGAGGAAAATAGGGAAAGGTTGGTAAAAGGGTACAAACTTCAGCTATAAGAGGAATAAGGTCTGAGGATCTAATGTATAACGTAACTATAGTTGATAATACTGTATTATATAATTAAGATTTGCCAAGAGATTACAACTTAAGTGTTCTCAACACACACACAAATAAGGCCAATATATGAGGTAATAGATGTGTTAATTAACTCAAGGGTGGGAATCTTACATTTATCAAATCATCAGGTTATATACTTTAAATATATTGTAATTTTTATTTATCAATTAAATTACACCTCAATTTTTAAAAAGCCAATTAGTACCAATAAGAAAAAACTAAAACCCTAATTGGTTTAAAGCACTTTTGCAGCACCAATTACATAAAAATGAGTGTCACAACACAACATTTTTATCCATTCATGAAAAGTGACATGAAACTTCTAAATGGTGGTACTTTGTTCATTCTCAATACGGCACAGCAGGGAGCAGACATCTTTGTTCTGGGAAGACCAGATTCTGGCATTTCTTGGGCCAGGTACCAGCTGCACACACTTGGAGAAAACCATCTGATGTCCCTGGGTCTCCATTTCTCTGGAAAAAGACACTTTAGTCTTATGTTACTCAGGGACGAGAAGCCTTCTTGAGTCCTCCGGCTTTTAGATCTCTAGTACAAATTTCCTGTGAATACCAAAAATGTATTTCTTTTTGATCCCTTCTTTGGTTCAAATTTCATATTACGTCAGATTGACCTTCCCACCGATTAATTCGAAGTAACAAGATTTTGTTGTAGTACGTACACATCTTTCAGGCTGCAATGTGAGGCAAAGATTGACCAAAAGGATGTATTTATCTTCAGAGCTGCTCTGAGCACAAACAAATCAGCAAGCCAAACGCTTCTGATGAGGATGATGTTCTTTTTTCTCTTGTTCATTTCTGTGGCCATCTCTGCCATTTGGAATCTAGCAAGTCCCTACAGTCACGGAATGACTTTCCTCGCTGATTAGCACTTGTCTCTTTGCTATGTCATAACCAATTTACAGTTTACATTTGAGAAACTTCTTCATAACTCAGCGCCTATATGAATAATTCAAGTAAAACTTTATGCTCAAAAATCTCATATACTAGAGTAAGATTTACTATATAGTTTAAAGCAGGTTTCCTGTGTATATGATAGTTTATGGTGATATTCTCACTTGAATCAGGAAAATTGATGCCACAATATTACTTCTCACAGAGGAGAGCCTCTATGTCCAATGAATTATAATGTAAATAAGGGGGGGAAATGGGATTTGAACCACAAAAATGTTTTTGAAATCTAGTTGCCAACTACTAACTGAATTTGTTAACTCTATGGCTTTGGGCTAATTACTTAAACCCTCTGTGCTTCAGCTTCTTTACCTATGAAGTGAGCATAACGATACCCAACTCACAATGAAATTAGGGACTCAATTAGATAATAGATAAGACAGCGCCTAGCACACTACCTGCCCCAGAGGAAGTATTTGTAAATAGTTCTTCCCTTTCCTACAGAAACCCAGAAGCCCAAAGAATGTACAAATATTCATCTTTACCTGTGACGGGCAGGAAATGACCCTCAAGTAAGCATTTTTATGAAGAGAGGCATTTTCAGAAAGTTTGTCTTTGATGTAATCAGAAGAATTAGAAATATCCACAAAGCATAGAGACAAGAAAACATGTTTCCTGACTGTGTTTAGCCCCGGGTGTTGGTATTTATTTCATTCCCTCTATTTGAATGTTGGCTCTTAAAGGGCAGTCAGGGGGTGTTATCTTTGTCCCCTGCTGCGCCTTGCCGAATCCTTACATATAATATGAGCTATGTGAATATTTGTTGAGCTGCATTTATCTTAGAAATCTTCTGTCCATCAAGACTTAGACTGTTTCTAACTAATTTGGTATTTAGATATAAAATGGTCAACTTCCATGACCCCAGATGGGTCAGTGGACCAGACACAGCACAAGAAAAATACCTGACATCTCTGAATTCCAACTAAAATATTCATATAGTGTGGCCTGTCAAAATACCTTTGTCTAAATAGAAAAAAGACTAGTGTTCTGAAGGCATGGGGAGGTTTCCTATTTGGTCTTTCCCCAGCTCACAGTGGGCACTCCATTCGCTGGTGACAAAAGACTGGAACTAATTTATTACAGAATTCTGACCTACCAACCACTTTCAAGAGTCATGAACCCTGTATTTTTCCTTGGCCTTTTAAGCACCCACTTCCACGGGAAAGAGCTTCCACCCTTGGCCAACCAAGTACCCTTTCTTTTTCAAGTATCATCAAAACCCATATTAATGAAATTTTGATGATGTTTGAAGATCGTGCATTGATTCAATATAAATTTGAGTGACTACTGCATGCCAGGCAATGTTCTAGATGCTGGGGATTATTGTAGTATGAACAAAACACACACACATACAAGCACACACACCCATCATGCCCACTTGTAATGTACATTCCAACAGGGCAGGGACAAACTGTAAATAAATAAGTTAAATATACAATAAATCTAATGGTGAGAAGTACTTAGAGGAAAATAAAGAAGGGAAGAGGGACCAGAAAAGCAGATGGGAAGTGAATGGCAAAATTACAGCCAGAAATAACAAAAACACTGGACCTTTATACATATATAATATACATATATATACATGTGTATGGTGTATGGACACACATATATATGTATACATATACACACATATATGTATTATATATGTATAGAGGTCTAGTTCATACACCATATACATGTGTATACATATGAAGATACATAAACTACTATGTGTGTGTGTATTTATTTATTTATTTATAAAATAACCCCATGGTGATTATTGTAATAATAATTATTATTCCTATTAAAATCTTTCCAGAAGGTGTAACAACTAAGTTTAGATACAATGATAAGCAGAAGTCAGGCTAATGATAACACCCAACACTTACTGAGCACCAGGCATTCTACCAAGCAATTACATGTTATCATATGAATCTTCACAAGACTAAAAAGAGCTCATGTTCTCTTTTAACCAACAAGGATAAGAAAACAGCACCCATGAAGTCATCAGCCCAAAGTCACAGAATTAGTGTCATGGTTGAATGGGACTCTAGACCCCAGGTTCTTGATACCAAACTGCCCTTTGCTCCAAGCCTACTATTGTTTGACAGATTTAAATAACCATCTCCAAGATATGTAAGAAATTCCCTATTTTCTACAAGATAGAGTATATTTTTGATGTTCCACTTATAGAGAGAATCCCATCACTTCATTCTAAATTACAGTAAATTATAAGTATATCTTTCTTGGGTGAAAGTGCACAGTGTGTCACAGCTTTGAATTCTTCCTTAAGCTTCTCTGTTTAAAAAAAAAAAACCCACAAAAATCTGTTGCAATTTATGAAGACAAGACAAGACAAACCCAAAGAGTAAATGAACAATGAGCTCAAGACACAAGGCTGAATTAGATGAAGGTTATTGGCAAAGATGTGAGGAGGAATGTAAGTCAAGACTCTATCCTCTGCTCCCTGCACACCCTAAATTCTGGACTGGCAACTTGCAAACAGAGAGCTGGGGTCCTAGGGAAGACCGAGTGAGAGTATGTGGACTGGTGCAAATTCTCTCCTCAGCTGCAGAGAACAGCAAAGCACAACGCTTAAATTCTATGCTATGCTCAGGTAACTTAATTACATTTTAATTATTTATATCCTGCTTTGGTCCAGAAATGATAAGACAAACTAGATGTGGGAGAGAAAAAGGAGAAAAATAAGGCTAATACCACAAAATGGAGACAAGAATGGGGCTAATACAAAAAGATATATCTTAAAGACCTATACATTTGCAGGGAACATGGGGTTCAAATTTAGCTCTAAACTGGCTGGCCATCAATCAAAAAGGAAAACCTGGTAAGTTATACAACTCACAGTATCCAGAAGATAGAATATCTCCGCTCTCCATATAAAAGGAATTATTATTAAAAATGAGATGAACCATGAGAGACTATGGACTCTGAGAAACAAACTGAGGGTTCTAGAGGGGAGGGAGGTGGGGGGATGGATTAGCCTGTTGATGGGTATTAAAGAGGGCACGTACTGAATGGAGCATTAGGTGTTATACGCAAACAATGAATCATGGAACACTACATCAAAAACTAATGATGTAATGTATGGTGATTAACATAATCTAGTAATAAAAAAAAAGTCTCTTCTCCCCCACAGAGCAATCTTCTCCAATTGTGACAGGGGGCAGAAGAGGGATGAGCCCTGTTCTTCACGAGAAAGGAGACAGGATGGAGTAAAAAGAACATGGGTTCCTTCCCTTCCAGATGATTCTGATTGTTGCAAGGATCAAACGACACCATGTTTGTAGAGGGCCTAGTGGTATCTGACCCACGGGAGAGGCTCAACAACATGGTGGCCACAATCAGGAAGGTGAGGCTAGAGATGAGGGGAAGGGTCGGGGGGACTACTTTGAGACTCCGTTTTAGCTCACTAGTCATTAAGTAATCTTGGCAAAGTCACTATATCCCTGAGCCTCATCTATGAAATCAGGATAATGTGACCTACTTCACGAGTTTATTGTGAAAATTAAATGAAAAACATGTGTGGGAAAACTTTTTAAATGAAGGTACTTTTTATGAGTAGGGAACCACTGGTGGGCAATGAGTTTGTGGCAGCTGGCAGAGAGCCACACACAACCAGTCCTGAGGAAATGCTTTATTCCCATGGTGATGAAGAGCAGCAGACCTCTCCCCCTCCGCACTCTCTGCTCTAGTCACGTTTGTTTTCTGTCATCTGAAGACCTTCATCCATTCTGTTCGCTTTGCTGTGAATCATCTTTCACTGCCACCCTTCACCTGAAACCACCTACACACCACCCAGGGCTCAGTCCCTTTCCCCAGGAGTCTTCCCTGCCCTTCCTGATTGGGCTCTATGAATTCCAAAACTGCCCTACTTGTCTCAGGTAAGAACGCTGTCTTATAATATTCAGTTTTGTGCAGACCATTCCATGGAACTGTGAACTCCTTGAAAGCAGGGAATGCCTGTCTTCTCTATTATGGTACCCGCAACATGGAGCCTTGTGCCAGCCCACAGAAGGCACTCGGCAAATACTGAGTTGTGAGATCAAAGTGGATTCAAACCCTAGAAGGCGGGTCACATGGTTCTCGTTTTTCTTAAGGTGCTATGATGCTTAACTGACTGCCATTCTTTCTTGCACTAATGTTGTAGCATCCATGGCCTCAACTGCATTTATCAAGTGCTAGAAATTATAGTTAAACCTCTGCTCATTCAAGCTTCAAAGCCATCTTCTAGAACGCTGAGCAACATAAAAAAAAAAGTGTTCAGATTTGAATTTTTTTCATCCAAGAGCATTTAGAAGGGATTGATAAATCAGTTCAACAAACATTTACCTTGAATCAAGTCCTTTCTCTTCAAGATTTTTACATCTTTGTACCATTCAAAAGAAATGTAATCCCTTATAGTCTCCCTTCATTTGTTCCTAAAGCATTAATATGCTGGTTTGAATGAGCTTTTTAAGATGAAAAAAATCACCCTCTCATTGAAGTTTCTGAAAGCAGCTTTTCCTCTTAAATACAGAGGTCAGCTTTTTACCGAACAGAAACATTAAAACATCAAGATATTGTTGCCTCCAAATACCAAGATTGTTGCCTCTGAATTTAAAATCTCAGATTTGACTAAATTTGTTTTCCTATTATTTATCTATATTTTTAGGTCATATCTAAGATTGCAGTGGGCCATTACAAACTCCTCAGCTCTCAGAGCTTTCAGACAATGGTGAAGAGAGAAAGGAGTCAATTTTGGTCATCTACAGCAACAAAGAGCTGTTGAATGGAAAAATAAAATCACTTGGGCTACTCAGTGCAGCTCACACCCAACATATGACCTTTCTTCCCAGCCTTATAAATATCTTCTGCATCACAAGGACTGCCAGAATTGACGAGAGACTTTAGAACAAGGCTCTTTATAGACAATGAGCTATTATCCTCCAGGACTTAGCAAACTGGCTGTCAGCCAACCTTATATTTGGATACTCCTGGAAAGATAAAATATGACAGCTAATTGGTTTATGTGAGAAGAGTAAAATATCTTAAACAAAAATATAGCCCATGCCAGTCAAATGTTATAGAAAGAGTATTTTCTCAGGAAGTCATGTCGACAGTATCAGACAGATGGAAGCAGAACAGCTTAAATAATAGCTAATGATGTATTTCCTTTGGGTATTCTGTCTCTCTCTCTCCCTTTACTTACAAGCTATGAACATGTACGATTCCTTCAACTGAAACAATCTTTCAGGTATCCCCAAACCACTGCAGTTGATAGATAAGAGATCCAATCTAATATATTCCTACAACAAATTCCCACACATAAGTTATCCCAAATCCATGCTAAGTTGGTCTAGCTTGTATAGACCCAATCTGTAAAAGACCACAGCATCTAATGATTCAACTCAGCAGTTTGCAGCTGAGATTTCAGAGGGGCTGTGATTGTCCTTTGTCACACAGCAATGGCTATTAGCAAAGCTAGGTACAGAATTCAGGTCTCCAGATCCTTGCCAAGGTCTCCACACTGAGTCTGCCACTCTAAATCACTATTCTTCAGCTGTGTTTAAACACACACGTGCACGCACACACACACACACGCATGCACACATATACACACACAACTCAAAAGAGTATCCACAGTTTACTTGATTAAGGAATAACTTATACACTTTCCTGAATCTACCCAAAAGGAGTGGAGTAAAATATCACTTGAATGAGAAGTGTCATGGGAAAGTTTCTGGAAGCAAAAGAAGAGATTATTACCTGAAAACTTAGTGATCAAACTGAACAGCAGAAACAAAGGTAAAGCCCAAAGGGAAACCCCGGTCACAAAAGGTGAATAGTGTGCTCACTCAGAAAAGCAAGAGCACAGATATGGGCAATAAGGTCAGTAGCGAAGATTAGGCAAGAGTTAGGGAATGTTGAATTGTTGATCCTAAAATGGCAAGTTGTGGACGTAGGTGAGGTGCACCTTAGAGGAAAGTTCCATGCATCTCACTAGTATTGGTAGAGGACAGTGTTCCTAATGCAGGCAATCTGGCAGAACATACTCCTTGGTCCCCGACATAGGAAAGCCTCCCTGGGTGGTCACATGTTGTCCCTGTGATTCTGTGATGGATGGCATGGTCCCTACATCAAGTCCTGAATGGAAGAGCCCCCGCCCTCCACTTGCAAGTTCAGACTTGCGGCTCATCTGTTGAACAGATCAATATCTAAACTCTATAGAGACCAAGGCCAAACACCAGGTCTAAGAGCCACAGGAAGAATGGAGTTTAAGCCTGCCGAGCCAAGCATTTGGAGATGGGCTGAGATCAGACCAGAACAAAAGCCAGCTAAAAACAGCTAATAATATATTTGCAATGGGTGTTGAGGCTGAATTAAGAGGCAGAGGCAAGGAAGGTGTGCAGCAGGGGATAAGGAGTGTTCAGCATGGTAGTCACGTTAAGGATGCCAGAAACAAAAATGTTTTTACTTATAATCATTCTACTATACACTTTGAAAAAAAATTAAACATCTTGTAGCGCTACCTGTTATGGAGAGATGTCTTCTGATTTGCAATCTGCCGTAGGATATTTTCCCAATTTGAAGGATGTTCTTATTGGTTCAGAGAAACAAGATAATAGGTTTAATTTTCTGAATTTTCTGTACTTCCAGTGGCCACAGTTATTTCCAGTAAGGAATCCTAAATTAACCCAGGAGCCCTGAAGACTCAGAAGGTCTTGAACACCCAGGCACTTTACTTCTCTAAGCCCCTCTGGCCTCATCTGCAAAGCTAAGGCACTGGCTCCAAAGACTCTCAGATCCCCCCCTCCGGCCAGCCATACATCTGGGAATACACTCTGTGTTTGGCCCAAGTATGTCTTTATGTAGGTATTTTATCTGTCTTACTACAATAACAAGCACACGCCCCAGATGGGAAAACTATGCTGAAAAAACAAAAAAAAAAACAAAAAAAACCAAGGCTCTTTCAGCACAATGTATGGGCGTGGTGAAACTAGATTGTGCCAACTAGATTGTGTGCAAGTCCCCCCCGAAAAAAATTATAAAAAAGCATATTCTAATAAATAGTTCAAGCTAATGGAACATGGTTAAGAAAGGGAACATATAAAATATTCCAAAGATTCAGATCTGTTATCACATGGACCACACAGGGTAGAAAAAAATGAAATAAGAGAAGGGAAAAGATGCTCTGAGAATGACTATAGAGGAAAGCATTGCTAATGTTACAGAGTCTATATTCTCATGTAGGTGGTTTTTCAATTTTCTCAACCCCATAATAACTGGCCAAAACACATCACTGCTTATTCCTCTCACTCCAAAATGAAATTCTGCATTATTCTGGAGTGTGTAGTTTGCATTTGAGGAAATTCTGAGCCATCAAATGATTAGATTAGATTTGGATAAAATAAGAAGGGAAAAGAAACATCCCTCCTAATTATTTCCACTCTCGATGTGTAAAAAAGATGGTTGCAAAGAACAGGGAAATTCTCATAATCCTCACTGTACCCTAAAAATTTTCTCATAACTTTCTTTCAGAGTTTGGAAGTGAACGGAAACGACTTCTCAGCCCCAGTGCATGACGGAAGAATCACAGGTTCAAACAAGTCAAATAACTTGACCATAGCCCCGCAGCTGAAAACAGGGGCTCAATCCTTTGGCTCTAGGTTTCCCTAAGACTATACCGCCTGGCTTGACTCTTGTTTGGAGCAAAATGCTAGGCAACAGAGCTCCCATAGGCAGCCTGTTGGCAGAAACCTGCTTCTGTTGGGGGTGAAAGTGTTGAACCCCAGTTGCTAAGAATAGCTCAAAGCACCTTGGAAGGAATGCTGGTTTCTAAAGAAATCCCCACTTGGAGAGTGTTCCTCCTTCTCCTCAGCCCATCTGTCGTTATGTATCTCGGGTAATGCATCAGAGATCATGCAATATATGGAAACATATTGAAGGTATTATATGTGTCAGAGTCATCTTCTCTCCTATTTCCATTAAAAGCTCTCAGCTATGCCAAAACTTTCTCATTCCCAAATGAGGTACATTTCAGTAAATGAGATGATGGATAGAACTTAAAGAATCCTCTAAGGAAGAGACAGAGCTGCAAAAAGACAGGGAGAACTTGCCAAAACAAAATTACAGGCAATCTCAGAAGAACGGATTTATTTCTCTGATGACATACAGTCTTTTAAGGCCTAAAACCTGCAGTGTACAACTTCCAATTCATGTCACTTTCCTAACGTCTTTTTCGAAACTAGATCACAAAGATCAGAGGACCCAAAAGTAGACAGAAGTGCGTCTATGTAGGCACACGTGTGTAGACATAACACGCGTGGCTGCTCTCGTGTTGGTGGGATCTCATCTGTTGGGAGGAATGCA